CCCCCGCGGGTGGCCCAACGGAGCCCCCCCCCCCAGCGCAGGGCAGCCCCATTGTGTGACCAAGCATCTGTCCCTTAGATCTGGGGCAGGCGGGTCAGCCCAGTGTCCTGTCTGCCCCCAGCACCCAGAGGGGATGAACAGAGGTTTCACCATGGAGTGAGCCCTCCCCTGTCAAACAGGCTAGGGACACCATTCCTGCCCATCCCGGCTAATCCCCGCGGATGGACCTGTCCTCCATGAATGTACCTAGCTCTTTTTTGAACCCTGCTAAAGTCCTGGCCTTCACCACATCCTCTGGCGAGGAGTTCCACAGGTTGACTGTGCGCTGCATGAAGAAAAACTTCCTTTGGTTTGTTTTAAACCTGCTGCCTATTCATTTCATTTGGTGACCCCTAGTTCTTGTGTTTTAGGAACAAGTCAATAACTTTCTCTTATTCACTTTCTCCACACCAGTCATGATTTTATAGACCTCTCTTGTATCGCCCCCAGTTGCTCTTTTCCAAGCTGAAAAGTCCAATAGTTGGGCTGGTAACCTTGCCCCCTCATTAGCAAAATTCTGGGTGCGCCCCTGTCCCTACAGGGCAAAGTACTCCTGAAACACCTGCTTTCCATTTTGGGTAAAGCATCTTCTAGTGCTTGACCCACAGGGTTCCTCCTCATCCCCATTTTACAGATGGGCTGACTGAGGCAGTGAGAGGTTCTAGATAAAATTAAACAAACAGCCTAGCAACAGCTCCCATTGTGTAGGAGCCTAACCCAAAACATTGTAAAGGAGCTAGAATCTATTCAGCATTTTTTTGAAAATCAGGTCCCATTCAGGTGTCTCTTATTAGTTATTTCTGAAAAAAATCACAGGTCTGTGGCAGAGGCAGGAATTGAACCCAGGAGTCCTGATGTGGTCAGGCCTCTGGCAGCAGAATAGCCTAGTGGCTAGATCACTGATTAAGTAGGTGGGAAACGGTGGGCACTGACTCCGTCCCCAGGAACTCTGAGCCACTCCCTGTTCAAGTCCTTACATTGGGGTGTGACCCTAAGAGTCCAGCTTCCCCTTAGTTGGGGCTTAGTAGCTTCCTCCCCTCTTCTCAGAGGGGATGGGTTTTACTTGCCCCTGTGACTGCTCAACAGACAGGCTCTGGATTTGTGTCCTTAGGCCACTGAACCGGGCTTCGGACTCCTTGCTCGTCATCCCCTAACTAAGCCACACTCCTTCCTTTTCTCCTCCCTCCAGGTCTGGCATTGGTTGCCAGTAAAGCAGGGCAGGGGTAGCTGAACCTAGAGGCTTCCTTTAACCCTCGGGACGCAAGGCCCTTCTTTCTCCGCTCCCTCGTACCTGGCTTCCTCCTCCTTTGTTTTAAACTTCAGTCCATTGTTCCTGCTTTACACATTCATTAAACGAACAGTAAAAAACAGGAAATTACCACTAGTTTATTTACATTACAATGTCATTCTTTAATACTACATTCTATTACCATAAAAACATTCTGACACAAACATACACACAATGATTCCCCTTCAGTGTCAAAGTATTTAAGACTGGCTGTGTGCGTCGGTGTAAAAATGTTATTTGTCTAAACTCCTCTCTTCTTGCTTTTGATGTCTGGGCTACCAAAGCCATCCCTTCTCACCTTGTTGGAAATATTACCCAACCCATGTCAAAGAATTATCATGAAAGGCCTGGGGTATTTACAAAAGGGGCAGCTATAGACAATTTTTTCCAACTTAGCAAATACTCAACCATTAAAAAACATTGGAGGAAAAGGATCAGACAGCAGCATCCGAGGCTAACTTGTTGCACTATTAGTAGAAACGTTGTCCTAGCCCCAAAAAGCTGGGTTCATTTCATGCTGATCATACTTTTCCCTGCTGGTTTCAGTTGCATGCTGACAGCTGCACTGCAGCACAGAAGCTTAAACAGCAAATCGAGCAAAAAGCCTTTACTGAGCTTTTCTTGTTTGCTGTTCCTGTGTTTACATTTCAGTTTGTTTCCTGCTGGTGACAATTTCCCCATCAACAGGCGGCTTGAGACCCTATCTTGGAGGGACAATGGAAAGAGGGGACTTCTATCTTCATGGCCGAACCAGGCCTTGAACATTCTTCTGGGAGGACTGTCGAGGAGGAAGCCAGTTACCGCAGCGGGTTTGGGGAGGTAGCTGTTCGTCCTCGAGAAACCAGACTGAAATCCACCAAACTCATTTCACACACAGCCCCTTTGAATCAGACTGAATCAGACTGGGACCAAGAGCCTGAAAATGAAAGGCTCCTCTTCCATTAACGAGGCTTCGTTTAGACATGGCACCTTTTATCCAGGCCTCTCAAAGAGCTTTAGACAAGGCCGCTTAACCCCCCCATTAAAAAAAAAAAGTGGAGGGGGGAGGAAACTTGGGCCCAGGAAGGTGCAGCAACATGTCCCAGGTCACACACTGAGCTGCGGACAGATCAGGAGGGAGAACCCAGAACTGCAGACTCCCCATCCCTGTCCTCTAAGATTTTCTTGTTTCCTTTCCAACTTACTTGGACAGGGTTTGGCCGTTTTGGATGCTCTAGAAATCCTGGGATTTTGATACAAAACTATCTGAAAACATGCCCCTCCCCCAGCCCATGTCTCTGAAGGTATCCCTGCCTTTATACCCCAACATTTCTATACAGTTCAGAGGTGGCCATGACAGCAATTCGAGCTGCTGGATCTTTCCCTTGGCTCCAGAATCCTCCATGCTTCCCTTGGCTGTTTACAAAGGGACCAGGCAGCCTTTCCAGCTAGGCCGTGGCAGAGTCCTCCAGGTCTGGATTCTCAGCGAGGTGCAGCTTTTGGCTGAGTTTGTTGTTAAGGTCTTGCTGAGGTCTTGTGACTGATGAGATCCCTCTGGGGAGAGGCTGGAGTTCCTAAGACAAACCTTCCCATGGAACCGGGCTCTGTACCCAGAAGCAAGGCCCCAGAAGCGGGAGACCGGGGGGCATGCCCCCCCTCCTCACTTTTTAACATGGATGACATTGGGGAGGCAGCACTGCCCCTCTGAACTACAAGCCTCCAGGAGGCAGACTGTGCTTGGCAGTAGGGGGGCTGGAAGGGCTATTTCGTGCCTGCCGGAGGCTTACAGTTTGGGCAGGAAACACAGGCCCTTGCCCCAAATTACGCCCATGTTTAAATGGGAGGGACATGGAATTGCTCCCCCTCCGTTGCAGCACCCGTGATCCCTAGGCTTGCCAGATGGTTTAACCAAAAATACCGAATCCCCCCACCCCATCCCCCAAAAAAACCCACCAGGGAAAAAATTCTGTTGAGGAAAAAAAGGGGGGGGGGGGAGTTGTTGAGGGAGGAAAAAAGAAAAAAGGACCCCAAGAGTTATTAAGAAAAAAAACCAGCATGCCCCCCCCCCCCTCCCTCCCTGCCCTCTGGTGCGCAGCGCTTAGAGTCAGCCACCAGGGTTGACTCTTAAGTGCCATGCGCTCCCCTGTACCTAGGCCCGGATTGGCCTGGGGGCAGGGTAGTAGCAGGATCTCTGCAGGCCAAATCAACCTGCTTTGCAGGCCGGATCTGGCCTGCGGAGGCCCTTTTGCCCACCCCTGGACTAATCAAAAGTCTGGTGTTCTCCCTTCAGGCAGGGTCTGTGCATGGAGCAATGCAGACAACAAAAAAACACTCCCGGGGACCAATACATGGCAGAGATGGGAACGGATTCCTTCCTGACCGCTACAGAGAATGGCCAACACCCTGAAGCATGAGATGTGACTCTCTCTAGCACGGCACCAGAAGGGACACAGGGATTTGCCGTATTGGATCCAGCCACTGAGCAGGCCTGGCTAGGGTTGCCAGATATTTTTTTTTTTTTTTTTTTTTGATGAAACTCACAAAAAATACCAAACATGCAGGCAAAAAATTGGTTGAGCAAAAATAAAAGAGAAAGAAAAGTTGTTGAGCAAAAAAAAAAAGGAGTCACACACTCCCACACTGCCTCCGCCCCCAACCCCTACTACCGGACATTTTACTGGTATTTCTGGGGGGGTTTACTGGACAAAAGGCGTAAATACCAGGCAGGGGTGGCCCGTGAGCCTAGGCGAGCTAGGCAGCTACCTAGGGTGCCGCTGGCCATGGTGCCCGATGACGACGTCACGGGGTGCCCCGTGATGAGTCACGACCATTGACAGCCGTGCAGGCAGGGGCTGCCTAGGGCACCAGCTACTGCAGCCGGCCTCGGGCCGCTGCTGACCCTAGGCCTGGCTGGGGTTCGGTCTCCAAGAACAGCCAGTGTCACTTGCTAATTCAAACTTGTCCCTCGGTTCTCCAGCTCCTTCGCACACAGCCACGTTACTGACGCCACCGGAGGCGCCGGCTTACCCTGAGCAGTGGATTCCTGCCAACATCTGCCACCGCTCTGGCTCAGCCTGTCTGGGCTCCCTCAAACCTCTTGCCCGCAGATGGGCAAAGCTCAGCATGTGCCGGTCAGAGACATTCCACACGCCACCGGACCCCTCCTTCCAACCCAACGCCGAGCCCTGCAGCTGTCTCCGTGACAGCCTCCCTTGGAAGCCTTGGCACCAGCGGAATCTCGACTCCTTTGGAATCCCTGGCAATTCCTGGGGACTCTGCACGGCTCCCTGCCTACCGTCTCTGGCAGAAGATGACCAGTAATGGCACCTCGCAGCTGATGCCTTGGGCTAGGGACATCCTGGAGAGTGGGATACAGGCATCTCACAGCTGATTCCCTCTTCCCTCCCTGCCTGAGGGGCCACCCACCTGAGCACATACAAAACAGGGGCCCCTGAAGAAGCCCCGGCCCCCCGCGCCCAGCAGAAGGATACATGGAGTTGCTGAGCTCTTCCAACTGAAAATGGAAACAGAGCAGCCATTAGAACAGCCAGGTGACACAAGCAGCCATGAGGCTAAAGGGAACAGGGCCCAGCTTGGCCTGTGAAGATCATGAGGGGTATTGTCTGTATCGTGGGGGCCCTCAGAGGGGGTCAGGGACCCATTGCTCTAGGCCTGCGGGTTTCAAACCTTTTAAATCATGGCCCAGTTGAAGAGGATTGTTGATGCCGCGACCCGACAGAACGCGAGTGGAGTGGGGGCTCTGGGGTGGGGCTGAGGATGAGAGCTTTGGGGTGCAAGAGGGGGCTCTGGCTTTTGGGAGGGGGGTCAGGTCTGGGGCAGGAGGGGCATCCCTCCAGCAGCTCCCGGGCAGCGGTGCAGCAGGGGGCTAAGGCAGCTTCCTGCCTCTCCTGGCCCCGCAGACCCTGCTGCCCCCCAGAAACAGCCGGCAGCAGGTTCCCAGCCCGTGGGAGTGTGGAGCTAGTGCCCAGGGCAGGGGCAGTGTGGGGAGCCCTGTGTGCTCTCCCCACAAACTAGACGCCAGGCCTGATGCCAGCCGCGTCTGGGGCACAGCGCAGTCTGCGGTGCCAGGACGGCCAGGGAGCTGCCTTACCCCCGCCCCGCTCGCCTGGGTCACCACCCCGAGTTTGAAAAGCCCTCGCCAGACACTACCCAGTCCCAGTACCGAAGAGCAGCACAGTGTACGAGTGGGGCTCGGAGGGAGCAGAGGCTGAGCCAAGAGAAGGGGACTCTCTGGCACTCACATTAGTCAGCAGCTGATCCAGGTTCCGGTCAGCCACAGTCTTCTTCTGGTCCTCAGAGAGCTCCTCCACGTAGACGTCCAGGCTGAAATGCAGGCGCGCCAGCTTCTCCTGCATCTCCCGCACGTGCTCCAGCTGCTCGAAGGAGCACTCCTTCCCTGTGCCGCCCGGGAGAGGGACCCGGTTACGCTCAGTCCCCCTGCAGTGGCGCCGCCTAACCTCTGGGTTTCCCTTACACATGGGCTGGGGCCTGCCCCAGGCATCACACAACAGCCAGCAGGCGCCTCCTAGATCAGCCAGACCTTCCAGGGCTAGCCAGGGTGGTTTTGGGTGGCCCTAGCTCCCGGCACCCCGGGCATTGATGCTTTGGGGAGCTGTTCAGAATGATGAGCCTTCTGCCTCTTTAGAGGAGTCGCCCCCTGCTTACCAAAGGCCTGGAGTTTGCCCGAGTGGAAGTCATTAAGCAGGTTCAGTAGCCCGCCCTCCATCTCATAAACGTCCGAGACGTCTGTCAGGAAGGAGTGCTGCAGGGGGGCCCCGAGGGCTGCACCCCCACTGCCCGCAGGTGGAGGCGGACGAGATTTCTCCTTGTTCGCCCTGGAGAGGAATCACATGCCTGCGTTAGCACCGGATGGAGGCTTTTCCTCGCCAGGAGCTGCCCACTGCTAGCGACATCGCCTGGCTTCTCTTTCCTCCAAGGAACTCCCGGCGCTTTGCCAGGATCAACCTACAGGAATAGGGCTGCCAGATACGTTCACAAAAAATACCAAACATAGCGGGGGGGAAATTGGTCGAGCAAAAAAAAAAAAAAAAGGGGGGGGGGGGGGGGGAGGAGGGGGACCAAAGTTGTTGTTTAAAAAAAAAAAAAACCAGAACTTTTTTTTTTTTACCGGACACCTGGCAACCCAGGAACAGCAGCACCACCAGGCGAGCGGCCCTGCGATGGATGCAAGGCACCGGTCTAGCTTGCGGGAGCATGTCGCACCCAGAGGGAGACAAATACCACAGCCTGCTCCTTCCAGCTAGAGCAGGGGTGGGCAAATATCGGCCCGCGGGCCAGATCCGATCCACCACGGTCAGCTCCTGGCCGGCCCCCCCACCGCTGTATTTGCCTGCACCTCCCCACGTCCGGAGATCACCGCTCCCATTGGGGATCGCATGGGGGCAGGGAAATATAGCTACAGCAGCCCAGCAGGGTGAACCGCCCACCCCTGAACTATTGCTAGAGCCCAGTCATTCCTGGAGCTCGTTTGCAGTAAGGGATCCTACCAGGGTTGCAGCTTCCGCTTCCACACAAGGCGCCGGCCGGGCATCGCTTCGCTCGCCCTCGCCACCCGCGCCCTGGGAGCCCACGCAGGAGGGGCCGGGCGATTGCGTTCCTAGCCGTCTCGGGAGCCGTTCCCGGGGACATGCGGCATTTGTAACCCGGGTTGCCCAGCCCCCGGCACTGACCTTTTGAACTTGGCCCGTTGCTTTGGGGAGGGCAGGTGAGGCAGCCCCAGAGAGAAGGTGGTGCTTTTGCTGGTGGGGACGGGCAGCTTGCGCAGAGCACTGGCGGGCGCAGGCTGAGCTAAGCCACTCTTAGGGCTTCTCTTCTTCTTCTTGTCTTCCATCGGAAGACCCGTCGCAGGCTCTCACACGCTGCAGCAAGGGCTCTGAAGGAGGGAGACCCTGTTCACCAAGAAAACAAAGTCCCTCCCTTTCAGCCCCTCTCTGCAGTCCAGCCTCTTCAAGTGTAGACAGAAGCTGCTCCCATGTGCATCACCTAGAGCAGGGATAAACAATCAGCAGACTGCAGGCCAAATCTGGACAGTCAGAGGTGTTTGATCAGACCCCCAACATCTTTTTTAAATTTACTTATTAAATATATTTGAATTAATATTGTCTCTAGACTCCAGACCCTCACCGAGTCTAGAGAACTGATTACCCCAGATGGACCCGAGAGGAAAAAGAATGCTCTGTGCTTCCCTCTGGCCCAGATCTGGAGAGCCACCTGAGGTCTTTATCTGCCCACTTCACCATCTTTAGAGTATTCACCCCACAACATGGCTCTGAGGCCGGGAAGTGTCCTGCCCATTGAACAGAGTCACAGAGAAAGGCCACACAAGAAGTACTGCAGAGCGGCTGGAGCTGGCCCTCCTGACTTTAACCACTGGGCATCTTTTCCTTTCTACCTGGAAACATTTTCCAGCAGGCTGGGAGCAGCACCCGGAGCCTCTCCAGAAACTGCACCTGCAGCCAGAGGTGTCTGCAAACTGGGTATCAAATGGCCACTAGAACAAGGCCCAAACAACATGCTTTGACTAGCCGCACTCCCCAGTCGAGAGCACTAAAGAGAGCTGGATGTGTCTGCGACAATGGGTTTCGCTGAACTTGCTCCTTTCAACCAGGAAGAGCCTCAAGTCCCTGCCAAACGCCATCTGCTGCTGAAATGCAGCCACCTCTAAGATAAGAGGGAGCTAGAGTGCACGTAGCCCCTCTTCAGCATGTTACAGATCCCCCTCTATCCCCATTCCACTGATGACAGCATGATGATGCACGCAGGGCCCTCCCTAGACTTATGCCAAATACATGGCCATGTAGGGCATCTAAAAATATGTATGTGCTTGTTTGCCTAAGTATGACCCTATTTATCTCTGCTGCCGTCTGTCTGTACACACGCATGCGCCTGTTTATAAGTTTCAGGGAGGAGGGGACAAGGAAGTGCACCAGCTGTTCAATTTCTCTCTCCAAGTGCTGTATACAAATGTTTGAATGTTTAGTGTTTAAGAAGAATTAAAATCCTCAGTTCTGAACGTGACATGCGCAAATTCACACCAACCTCTGTTCAGTCCCGTTACAGGTCCTCAGCCAGCCTAAAGCAGCATTGCTCCATTGAAGTCAGGAGTTCACCAATTTACACCAGCTGGGGACCCAGCCCATTGGCCTCCGCAGAACTATAATGATTTACACCCGCTAGGGAACTGGTCCGTTGTTTCAGGCGGAAGCTCAGAGTAGGAGCTCAGGTCAAGGAGGGATGGTTAATGACATTTGAGGAGGAATGGGGGTTAAAAGCAAGAGCAATTAGATCAGGGTGGTTATGAAACTAGCTCGGGTTTATTTGTATTTAATTACTGGCAGTGATGTTTGACCTGCACAAGTTATAAAATGCTATTTACACATTCTATTGAAAGGCACAAACGAAAGGCTATTCAGTCCTTTTCTCTTTGCTCCATTGTTTTGTTCTGAATTTGGTGAAAGGGGCACTGGAGAGCAAACAGAGATGGGACTGTAAGATTCTCCAACCCCAGCATTTCTCAAGTTTTGAGCAGGGGAGGGGCAAATCACAGAAGGGGACTCTCAGCCCATCCAATCTACTCCTCAGCAGACTAATTAGCTCCCACTGAGAGAGTGTTTTGTTTTAAACATACACCAGATAGGCTTGAGCAGTGTTTCTCAACCTTTTTTTTAATAAAGTACCCCTTTAAAAAAATTGTAAGTACCCCCAGTACCTACAGTTTTCAGACAATTTTTTTCTACCATTGCAACACATTTGTTTAAACAACTTAATCATAGCCAGGCTGGCAATGCAATTTTTGGGTGTAAAAAAGTACAAAAATAATAAAGTGCTGTAAAACTTTAAAAAAATATAGTTTTCTCCAAATTTCAGCTGTGGGTTCATGTCCCGCCTCCCTTGGGTCGGATCGGAATGGCCAAAAGCCAGGCGGGCCCAGGGCAGGAGGGATAAGGAGCAGGAGATATAAGGGGCACCCTGCCAGTCAGGTGGTGGGGCAGGTTCCAGCATGGCCATGGGGATAGGGCGCTCACCTGTAGAGGGCAGGGTTGTGGGTTCATGTGGTACCGCCCCCCAGACTTCTCTTAAAGGTACTCAGACCACTGGTTGAGAAACACTGTTCTAGAGGTCACAACCTGAAGACAACTTTCATGTACTGCAGAGATGGGATCTGAACCTGTGAGCAAGACATGAAGGGCTCTATCCCATTTCTAGACCCCTGCAAATCTGTGGGTATCTGTGGCTATGGATATCCACAGCTCATTTTAGCTGCTACAAATGTGAATACAAATTTTATATCTGCACAGGGCTCTACCCATTACCCTGAGCTGTGAAGAATTCTCTATACTCTTTGGACCACAGGTTTCGGTACAAGGCTTGTGTGTGTTTGTACAATGCCTCCTTGCACAATGGTGCCCAGATCCCAACCAAAGCCTCTGACTGCTATGACAGATATTTATTTTGCTATTATAGGGATCTTGGATTCTGTTATTGCCACTCCAACTCATCTGATGAAGTGGGTTTTGCTCACGAAAGCTCATGATCCTATATATTAGTCTCTGGGGCTACATCTACACTGCAGGCTTTTTGCACAAGAACAGTTTTGCAGAAGAGTTCTTGTGCAACAAAATCTTCCACAAGAAAGCGTCCACACGGCCACGTGCTTTTGAGCAAGAGCATCCATGGCAGCGTGGACGCTCTCTTGCGCAAGAAAGCTCTGATGGCCATTTTAACCATAGGGGCTTCTTGAGCAAGAATTTCATGTTGCCTGTCTACACTGCCCTCTTGTGGAAGAGCTCTTGCGCAAGGGGGCTTATTCCTCGTGGGGAGGGAAATAACTCTTCTGGAAGAAGCCATTTTCCAATGCTAGACTGTAAATTTACTTGCGCAAGAATGCGCATGCAGTGTAGACAGCCGGCAAGTTTTTGCGCAAGAATGGCTGTTCTTGCGCAAGAAGCGTGTAATGTAGACACAGCCTGGTGGTTTCTAATTACACTGGATTGCATCCCTGGCTCAGTTCAGCATTGGAATTCTTTGACAGATCAAAGGAACCAGTCCAAAGCTGCAGACAGCTTAGCAGACTCCTTCAGATGCTCATCGCAGCACCTTTTATTAATAAATTAATTAATTAATAAAATTAGAGGGAGAGATCTAGGTTGGATATTAGGAAAAACTATTTCACTAGGAGGGTGGAATGGGTTACTTAGGGAGGTGGTGGAATCTCCATCCCTAGAGGTTTTTAAATCTCAGCTTGATAGGGCCCTGGCTGGGTTGATTTAGTTGGGCTTGGTCCTGCCTTGGGCAGGGGGCTGGACTTGATGCCTCCTGAGGTCTCTTCCAGCTCCATGATTCGGCAACATACACTCTGTCCCTATTGTTCTCTACAATGGCAGCTCCCTTGCAGCTGGGTCCGATCAAAGCCCAGCCATGGGCTGTGGGAACAGATCCCTCTTTGTTCGGTATGGAAATGGCTGTGTGGTTCCTAATAGATTATTCAGACAGCTATTTCGCATTCTGTTTTCATTGCCTCCCCAGCATTGCTAGCACCCTGGGGGTTAGCTGCACAGGAACCAATTTCCAAAGAAGGGAAATGCCCCTGTAGGAGATCAAGAGGGCACTAGCCTGCCCTCCCCAGCTAATTGCAGCAAGCGGCATAAGCCTCACGCACGGACCAGAACCCGCAGCGCAACAATGCAGCAGCCGGGCAGCGTTCCAAAAAGGAACCTTCGCTCCTTCAACGTTCCATCCTCCTCCCCGCCGTCGCAAAAGCCCCCGAGGTGAAACTGACCTGAGAGGAACCCCTCGTACTACGGCTCCTTGCTCCCAGCGGCGGAGCGCCCTGCGAGGAGCGGCATAAGCCTCACGCACGGACCAGAACCCGCAGCGCAACAATGCAGCAGCCGGGCAGCGTTCCAAAAAGGAACCTTCGCTCCTTCAACGTTCCATCCTCCTCCCCGCCGTCGCAAAAGCCCCCGAGGTGAAACTGACCTGAGAGGAACCCCTCGTACTACGGCTCCTTGCTCCCAGCGGCGGAGCGCCCTGCGAGGCACGGTGTCAACAGCTGCCGGGCCCAGGCAAAAATTTGCATTTAAAGGGAAAGGGGCCCTCCCTGCCTCCCGCTGCCCTCGCGTTCAAGCTATTCTCTTCCCACGCGCGGCGCACAGATGTCAGGAGATGAAGTGGACAGGGACAGGCATCGGTGGGGCTGGAACTGGCGGAGGGAGGGTGCGTCAGCACCCCCTGGCTTGAAGGGGTTTCCATCACAAACGGGATTTGACCATTCATTATTAGTGGGAAATAGGCCAATGGAGGGATGATAGGAGTTACTAGAGAGAACTTTCTGGGTGTCTGGTGGGTGTGTCTTGCCCACATGCTCAGGGTTTAGCTGATCGCCATATTTGGGGTCGGGAAGGAATTTTCCTCCAGGGTAGATTAGCAGAGGCCCTGGAGGTTTTTCACCTTCCTCTGTAGCATGGAGCACAGATCACAGCTGGAGGATTCTCTGCATCTTGGGGCCTTCAAAGTATCTGAAGGCTTCAATATCTGAGCTATAGGAGAGAGGATTATTCTTAGAGGGGTGGGTGAGATTCTGTGGCCTGTACTGTGCAGGGGGTCAGACGATTATCATAATGGTCCCTTCTGAGCTTAAAGTCTATGAGTCTGCTTCAATTGCCCTCAGCACCCCCCAATATACACATTGCTGCAGTCCCCTGGGGACAGATTGTGACTTCACCAGTCTGTAACTCCCCTGACTTCAGAGGGGCTACTGCCCACTGGGAGAAGAGTCAAGCCAGGGGTTGCACTGATGTGGTTGGGTTCCAGGGTGAGGCGGGTGCAACTCAAGAACAGCTCCATGAAAGTCCAGAGCAGAGCCACAAAAATGACTAAGGGGCTAGAAAACATGAGCTATGCGGGGGAAATGAAGGAATGGGGTTTGTTTAGTCTGGAAAAGGGAGGCCTGAGAGGGGACACGATAGCAACTTTCAAGCCCCTAAAAGGCAGAGGGAGAAACATTATTCTCCTTAACCTCTGAGAACAGGACAAGAAGCCAGGGGCTTAAACTGCAGCAAGGGAGGTTGAGGTTGGACGTTAGGAAAAACTCCTGCCTGTCCGGGTGGTGAAGCACTGGAATAAGTTGCCTAGGGGGGTTGTGGAATCCCCATCCCTGGAGATAGTTAAGAGCAGGCTGGACAGACGCCTGTCAGCGATGGTCTAGCGGTGTTCTCCAACCTTTCTAAGCACCATCACTTTTTTGAATTTAAGTCAATTCAAACTCTACCTCAAACCCAACCCCCTTGCCTCGCACCCTTCTCCAAGCCCCCCCCTCACTCTGTGGAGATGGGGCAGAGGGGAAGGGGACATCAGTACCCCCTTGTCTGCCTCCCCTACACTACACATCCAGCAGGAGGCTTTCGAGGGCAGCTCCAAGGCAAAGGGCAGGAGCAGCCTGGCAGTGGAGGGGAGGAGCAGCTGACCTACAGGCACTTGAGAGCCTCCTGGCCAAACCAGTCAGAATCACCTGTCAGAGGCTCCAGATCTACTGGTAGATCCTGATCTCCTGATTCGTGACCATTGGCCTACGTGCTTGGTCCTGCCATGAGGACAGGGGACTGGACTTGATGGCCTCTCGAGGTCCCGTCCAGTGCTACAATTCTGTGAACATTAGTGGTGTGAAATCGGTGTGAGACCAAAAGCCGGCCTGCAGGAACAGTCTATCCCAGACACGGGGCGAGTGTCAGTGGACAGCTGCTGAAGATGTGGCTCCGAGCCTCCACCGCAGCCCACCTTTTCCATTCACTTATGGAACCTGACTTTTACCTGGTGCTGCTCAGGTCCTTAACTGTATTAATTTTTGTTTTTCTTCATTTAAATCATTGCTCTGGGGAGGGGTGGGGAGGAGGGGTTCAGTCTGCAGGCTGCCCCGGGGAGAGAGGACAACCCCAGCCCTCTCTCACTGGAGCATCTTGGGGACAGGTGAGACGTGCCTCTCCATGGCCACTGCAGCTCCAGCAAGCACATCCCTCAGCTGGGGCAGGTCCAAGTTTGTCTGCCCCCTGCGCTCCCCAGCCAGAGGGAGGAATGCTGTGAATTGGGCACTTTCCCCTCGTTCCCTGACAAAGGGAACAGTCAGCAATTGGGAACAGTGGGAGGCGCTGGGCTTGGGCAGTCCTCAACCAGAGGGTGGGGGGAGAAGAGTGCCCCTAGCCAGCTCTTTACCTAATCATACTGTCTCTCTACAGTATGGTTTTATGCATCCAAATGGGGGGAGGGGCTTTCAGCCCCCCTCCTGCACAACCAACCCCTTACCTTTGCTGTAAATCATGATAAAAGGAAGATGTATATCATATGTGGTAGTCGTAGCTCTTACTGTTTAGAAATTGTGTATACAGCCCTGTACAAATGAGGAGGGGGGGAAGCTTCTGCCCTCCCAGTACAACCAAACCCTGACCTTGCTTTAATTTAGGATAAGAGGAAGCTGCATCCCAAACATGGTGGTCCTTGCTCTTACTGTTTAGGAGTTCTTGAACAGACAGATTCACAGACAGACACCAGCTCTCTCAACTAAATAGCCAACTAGAATATTCTCTCAAGTAAATATTGTAGTTTTCCTTTTAGCAGAAATGTATTGCTAAACCAGACTCATTAACAGGAGGTGGTGTTGATGGCCCTTGCCATTTTATCTTAAGTCTCACAACATGGGTTTTTGTCCTTAAAGCCCCTGCTCATGGAGTCCTGTGATTAGCTCTGCTTACAAGAAAAGCAAGCTTCTAACCCTCCTGGAGGCAGAGAAAAGCTTGAACATGTGAACTCTAAAGGCACAAAAGCCGACATTTGCTATTTAAAAAACAAATAAACCATTCTTGTGATTTTTGGGAGCCAACTCATTTATTTTGTAACTCTTAAGGAATATCTATAATAGCATTTTGGAGTGAGTCTCCCAGCATGGGGGTCAAGAGACTTGGGCTAGTGGCCTTGTGCTAGAACTCTGATGTTGACAGTGCTTTGAAGTTGCAGCTTGGACCCGAGTTTAGGCTGTGAAGTATGGGGTGCAGGAGAGTCATATGTCTGTGGATCCAGGCTGCGAGGCTTGGGCCAAAATACTGTGTAGACATACGCTTAAGGTTTACTGTGACAAACAGGGCAATCTCCTCCATGAATCTTACTGAATTAAGTTAAACCTGACTGAATTAACCCTTGTTGAATTAAGTTTAATACCTTTGGTGTCGATGGAACACAATTATGTCATTACGGAGTTATATGTCATTTCCCAAGGAGACATGAAGAAGGAAAACACTGGGACAGGGTAGGAACGTCAAAAGATTTTGTGAAACAATGTACACTTTTAGAAGTAAGTGGGTTTCATTGGGGCTGTGTCTAGACTGCATCCCTTATCCGTAAAAAGGGATGCAAATTAGACACATCGCAATTGCAAATGAAGTGGGGATTTAAATCTCCCCCGCTTCATTTGCATAAAAATGGCTGCCGCTTTTTTCCGGCTCGGAGCTTTGCCGGAAAAAAGCACCAGTCTAGACGGGGATCTTTCGGAAAATAAAGCCTTTTCTAAAAGATCCCTTATTCCTTATTTTAAGAGGAGTAAGGGATCTTTCGGAAAAGGCTTTATTTTCCGAAAGATCCGCGTCTAGACTGGCGCTTTTTTTCGGCAAAGCTCCGAGCCGGAAAAAAGCGGCAGCCATGTTTATGCAAATGAAGCAGGGGAGATTTAAATCCCCGCTTCATTTGCAATTGCGATGTGTCTAATTTGCATCCCTTTTACGGGAAAGGGATGCAGTCTAGACACAGCCTGGGTGTATGGCAGGAAGTGGGAGTGTGCTAATATAATTCCTCTCATCTGAGGAAGTGGGTTTTGCCCACAAAAGCTCATGATACTAGATATATTTTTATTAGTCTCTGGACTACTTGTTATAATTCCTCTGATTAGACAAGAACTTGGCTGTTGGAATTTTGCCTCCAGGAGAGGATCCACTGTTGGGCTAATTACTTTTTCATGGTCTCTCACCCCCCTCCCCATTGTGGATAAAGGATGCACTAATCCATGAGGGTATTTGTTCTGACCCAAGGATTTTAATGAAACTGAAACCACTGGAAAACCCTTGTGTGGATTTGAAGGGATCACTGCTCACTAGCCAGAACCCATGCTGGAGTGGGGGCTGATTTCTGTGATGCATGACAATACTGAACCATATTTTAAAATAATATGTAGTATCCATGTTATATATTGTCTTGGTAACATTATTCTAAAAATATATTAATATTTTTACTACACACGCTGTAGCATCAATACAATCTCTTCTTATCATGTTTTTAAGTAGACTGTTAATGTTGAAAAATGTATTAATACTGACCATGCTAAAATTGAGTCCGATATTTCTCTTGAACTTTCCAGCCCCATGAATCTGGATACCACTCCCACTGACACCGATGGCAAAACTCTGTTGTATACTGTGTCGTAAAGAAATCACCCATGGGCCCTAACGCCGAATTCGGTGAGTGCCAGTGTTCCTTATAAGCTGGGTTCTTGTGCAGGAGAGAGTCAGATGTTGCCCAGCTGATTAGCAGAGGGCCCACAGCGAGGCTGTGTGATGCTCATCTACACATGCCTCAGTGCACAAACAAATTTATTCCACACATGGGTGGAAAAAATCCGAGGGACCGTTGATAGATGTGTAGAATAATACAGAGAAGGGAATATTGCTTCTGCCAGGTTCAGGATGGGCTCGGATGCCGGACAGTGGAGTAGTCCCTGGCTCAAGCGGTCATCTTATTCTCTAGACTCTCAGCTTTTGTAAGTAAAATAATCAAAATAAGCAAGGTGCTAGCTGCTGTGGTTGTAAATAAAATCTCAGATGCGTGAACCAAGCATAACTGCAGCAGACAGAAGTCTGCCGTGTAGACATCGCATCAGCATCCTTGTGCTGAAACGGTCTTGCTAAAATGCTGGTCTGGCTCCCCGCTCCTGGGTGCTTTCTCCTACCGCACAAAGGAGGTCCCTGGTATGGTGGATGGGAGAGCCTCACAAGCAGCTCTCTGGAACTAGTGACGCACCAGCATCAGAGCACTGACCCGCCCTTACCCCCATAACCTGCATTTCCTGCCCTCTCTGATCACTTGCAAATAGTCTGTGCGTGGTCCATGGTGGATGCAGTCTATAATTAAGATACAGGAAAATATCATTATCTAGACAAAGATACATAAAACTTGCCTCATCCCGTACAGTGAGGGGGAAAGAAGAACAGACACATCAAGCAGTTCATGTGCATTTCTATTGGATATGACGATACAGACAACAGACCACAGATATAGGTTATCTGTACCATTGCAAAAAAGAGTTTGTGGATTTCTAAACAGAGGGAGCAGAGGAAAGTCAGGCTGCAGTCCTTGACCTTAACTAACCGTCCAGCAATGAGGCGTGGTCCCATCAGGTCATAAATACATTCTCTTGCTCAGTCAGTCCCAGTTTGCACTGCGAGGCAGAGAGGGACTGCCTGGAGCTGACAGTAGTGATATTTAAAGCAAGGGGGCCAAAAGACAAAACCAAAGCCACGCTCCATAGAGTATATTCCACTGACTTAAGGCAAGACCCAGGCTAACCAGCAGGCTAAGACCTCCTGCTCTGTGAAGACCAGAAAGATTCCAGCTTGTTAGGTCTTTAGTGGAGACAGGACCTAATACGTTAACCAGAAGAGCCATAGTGATTCGACACCACTGAACGCAGGACTAGTGTACAGTAGCTGGCTGATCCCAAAACCAGCCATGAGGATGGTTTACCAGACCCCTGAGCAGCTGCCTAGAGATGATCTGCTGGCAATCCTGCTGTTTTAGAAGAGAAACAATGGGAAGAAAAACGGATCCAGTCCAAGACAGATAACAGAATGGAGAGTGACTGAAATGTACTTGAGTTGATCCGGTTTGGTTTTAAGCAAAGGAGGAGGGTACTGAAAATAAAGTGTATTGTGATTGTAAGTGTTAGTGAGGCCTGCTTCAAAACCAGCAGAGGACTGCCCTTCCCAAAATGGGAAGATTTACGTGAGAGCAGGGGGAGTCTAGAGAAATGGTCAACTGAGGGCCAAACCCAGAAGTCCTTGCTCAGGCAAGACTCCCAAGCTGAAGTCTACGGTATTTCACCCCCCTAAGGATTTGTTGAAGCAGCACATCCCCCTCTTGAGGAACTGACAGGATGGACGAATCGCGTGCTGCTCTCACACTCTGCTGACAGGAGAGACTGTGCGCGCCCATTTCTCTCCACAAGCCTTCCCTGCAGAGCAGCTGTCAGCCTGACAGCCAGGACACAGGTAGGCTGTCGAGTTACTGGGGAAGGGTGCTTGTGAATCAAGTGTTGGAAAGACAAAGTCAAAAGGAGCCTGCCAAAGCACTGGAGCAGCAGCACATCCCAGCCAGTAGAATATCCATGTGGACATGGCTCCCTTCTCGGGCTCGGCCCAGAGAACGTTCCTCACGGGCCCCGGAGAACGCTGAGGTTTTGTCTTTATGGACCCACTGCTTTGTAAACACCCGCCATGGGGCAGCACGGAGACCCTTCCTCGGGGAAAGCAATCTAGACAGTAACCTGCAGGGCCTCCTCACACCCTCACAGGGTTCATGTGCAAAACAAGTCGGAAGTAGACCTTTGGATTAACTCTTTAATACATTTGTGCACGTGTGCGTCTAGCGTCGAGGCAACTGTGAATTATAAGGCTACTGAGACATCAGCAGGTTCTGGGAATATCGAAGGCCCAGAGGGATGCCCGCTGAGGGAGCTTTCTGATGCGTCCAAGACCCGGGCTGTTTCTCCATTTCCTTTCGTTCCTATACAATACATGGACTGAATGACAAAGAAAAAACAGCCTCTTCCCTCCCCTTCCTACGGGAAAGAGAAAGCTGCTAACCAGGAAAAAAAATACGCTAGCACACCCCAGTGCCCCCATCCTGTCTACAGCCACCCAAAGGAGCATCCAAGGCTGGGGAACACTCCAAATTGTGCCCAGTTCCACCCTCTACGTTAAAGTGATGTTAAAAATTGCACAGCCTCAGGCGGCGCTAGCGACATTTCCAGTTGTTTGGATGCTATGAGCCGGCGGGTGAACTGTCACCAGTCCCTCCTATCTGCTCCCCTGAGCTGCCTAGCTTCGAAAAGGACATCCCCGCCCACCATTAACAAGGTCGTTCAGGAAAAGGGCCAATCAGTTAAAAATCTGTGAATTAGATATCCACGCACACGCAGGGGAGTGGCTCACTCTAGTTTATATATATCCATATATAAAAGTGTATGTTGCCCTGCACATCATTTTATATATCATATATATATATATATGTATGTATGTATATATTAAAAAAATCTCCAAAAGCCTAAACTGGAAAAATCTCAAAGCCCCCAGTCCTGGGACCAAGGAAAGGACATTAGACCGAGCTGTTGAACCATTCACATGTGACCATCCCTTCCCCTACCTGCTGATAAAGGGCTTACTCAGCACAGTGAGAGCATTCCTCTGTCCCGACCTAACCCAGCGCTCCTATGCTCAGTTCTCCCGGGTTCTCCGCAGGTTCTGTGCCGGGCACGGGCTTCGTGGAACGAAGACAATCTTCCCCAGGGCACTGCTGTGCTACAGCGCCCCCTGGTGCCGGCTCACCAGAGCTGTCTCGAGATGGGTCCTTGAGGGGTTCCAGCACGTCTGCGTCGGGCTGAGGCGTATGGGTGCACAGGTCCTGCACCTTCTTGTTCAGGTCATTACGCTCGGTCTGAAGGGCTCGGCACAGCTTCTCCAGGCGCTGGATTTTCACCTGAAGCCCCTCCAGCTCCTTGTCCCGAAGGGTTTTCTGCAAAAGACAATGGTCCCAAAGCAGTGAGGGTGAGGAGCAGAGAGTCTTCCAGCTAATACGGTAACTTAGGGCCTGAGGCAGGAAAGAGAGGCACAGGGAAGCTCCTGGAAGAAACAGGCCAAGTTCACATGCCTCTGAGCACACGTCAGGACCCAGTGCTCATACGCTGTCACCACCAACTCCGATCTGCTGTTCCCTGGGGTGTAGGGAGAGACTGACAACCTCATAGCGCCTTTCCTCCACGCCTTCCAGCTAATACGGTAACTTAGGGCCTGAGGCAGGAAAGAGAGGCACAGGGAAGCTCCTGGAAGAAACAGGCCAAGTTCACATGCCTCTGAGCACACGTCAGGACCCAGTGCTCATACGCTGTCACCACCAACTCCGATCTGCTGTTCCCTGGGGTGTAGGGAGAGACTGACAACCTCATAGCGCCTTTCCTCCACGC